ATTATTAATATGTGTGTGTGTGTGTGTGTGTGTGTGTGTGTGTGTGTGTGTGTGTGTGTGTGTGTGTGTGTGTGTGTGTGTGTCTGTGTTTTGCTTGTTTTTGGGTGTTTATTCAGAGAAAAAGATTTTTGGATGATCAATTATCCAGCATGTTGCATGGTATATGATGTTGACAACTTAAAACCATTAACAATACATGCATGACCCTGCTTGTCTGTTGCATGTTTCAAACTGCCATATATAGTTTTAATTACTAATAGAAGGTAAGTATGTGCTTTCTGTTTTGCAGTTTTTAATGTAATTACAAATTAAGATAACAGAGTTAATGTTTTTCCCTCTTCTCTCTTGAGAAACATTTCACAAATGCTCAAAGATTCCATATTGCATTGTTGATATTAGGAATAATTAAATATATGTCCCAAATTCTAAATTGATAGGAAGTGATGTCAAATTTTGGTCTCTTGCATTGTTTTCCATAGAGAGAAAAGTCATTATTGGTCATGCATGACTGCAAGGTAAGTTAGGGGCAAGTTCCTTGTTTTCTGACCAGTGCATTTCACTTTTTTCTGTACATATTTTATGTTTGTCCTTAGTTTTGCTTCTTGTTGATTCCCATTCATGATAGTTGGCTGTGTCTTGTATTGCATAAAAGGCATTTTCATAATTGCTTTAAAGATTTTCTTAAATTCATTCCTGTCCTCTCCTCCTTTCCCTATTTTTGTTTATTTTTATTTTTATTTGATTTTTTTATTAAGCAATTTTTTAATTTTTCTTTGCATTTTTTAGTTGTTGAGTCACACTGAAGAATTTTTGTTTAAGTACCTTTTCAGTTTTTTCTTTATATATTTGTGTTCTAGGCAATATTTGCATGGCAGCAGCGGGTGTGTTGGGGGTGGTGTCAACCCCTACCACGCAGTGTATGCCTCGGCACATGTGTCCAGCAGACTGGACTCAGAGCTTCAAAGTCTAAGTTCTGATGCACTCACCGATGACACGATGTCATGCACTGATTCCTCTGTGTGAGTACTTTTGTCGCATTTGTTCCCGTACTTCCATTCACTCGTGCTGCAGCTTATATGTGATTGATTGCATGTTTGATTACATACCTGGTAGTATATTATATAGCAGATGGTCCATTTACTTATCCTTTTCAGTGTTTATTAGTTTTATAGAATATTTTATGCCAGATTGATTAAATATGTGATGTATGCCCCAGTGTTAATGTATTTCACTTTGTAATTCTGCTGTGAATTTTCCTTTTATTTACTTTGTGTAATTTCTTGATCATACTTAAGGTAATGCAGACGTTGACACTTTGTACCAGCCTTTTAAGGTTTATTGTTTTCATACTGATGTATCTTAGTACCTTAGATAAAGATTTTCACTTCATTATTTCTTATTTTATTATTTTATTAAGTTTGCAAATTTGTTTGAAAGTATGATCAGTCTTAGTGTCAAAAGTAGTATTGATGACATAGCAGACCTTTTTGCTGTTTATATTTAAGTGTGCATTCTCGTGTGTGTGTGAGAGAGAGAGAGAGAGAGAGAGAGAGAGAGAGAGAGAGAGAGAGAGAGAGAGAGAGAGAGAGAGAGAGAGAGAGAGAGAGAGACAAAGATTGAAAGAAAGAAAGAAAGAAAGAACAGAGAGATAAAGAGATAAAGAGAGAGCAGTTGCTGAAATTTGTATTTGCTTACATTTGCTGAATATGTTTGACTGGCCTCATTGCACTGATGTGCTTGACAAGTGTTTATGTACTTTGAGATTTCCCAAAGCTTGAGGCAGATTGTTCCACTATTGATAAAGCTAAGGGAGATCCTCCTTGCAGCGATGGAATGTCAGTTGGGTTTGGTCGTAACATCAACCCAAAATACCTCAAGAGACAGTACCACAAGATGCGCGAGAATGCCCGCCAGAATCGTGAGCTAGCCTTGAGTGCAGCCACGGGGGGCAGCTTCCCTAGCAGTGCAGGAGGGGGTGGGGGTGGGATTCTCCATGGTGGCGTGCCCTTTGTCCCCCGCACGCACCGCCTGCGCCATGAGTCCGTGCCCAACCTCAAGCCGCCCGAGTTTGCTGCACTTCTTATAGAACGGCTGGAGAAGGTCAAGAGAGACCGTGAGTCGCAAGAGAAGGTGCAGCAGTCCTTCAAGAAGATCCAGGAGGTAGGCTCTCTTTCCACTATGGCCGTCTTTTGAGCAAGAGCACACACTGCTCTTTTTAATATGGTTTGGTCATTATTATCACCAGCCACTGGATACAAGTTAGATGGTTTTGTTGTTTTGATATCATCTGAGCTAGGAGTATGGGAGCTTCAGATATGCTTTACTTCTGCAGGGGGACAATGTGTCGGACGAGTGCCGCAGACAACACGCCTTCAACAGTCTTCCTCCTTCGCTTCTCTTGGATAAACTTAATCAGAAGATTCCTCTAGATGATGTAGATCCTTGCCAGTCTATATTAGGTGAGTGAGAGGAGGCCCAGTCTACAACATTCCCAGTATATGGGCAGGAAATTTTTCTTTTCCCAAAATGGGAAGTGTATTTGTAAACATAGCTCTTTGAGAAGATTAAAAAGAAAAGTAAAACCTTTGAAAGGACACAAAATGCTTTTCTTCTTTGCCACAGATGAGCACGTCTCTCGAGTGTGGCAGGACAGCAACAACGACACGCCTGCTCGCTCCCCCGGATCCCCTAGACCCAAGTCACCCTCAGGCAGACGGCCTGGCGCTCAGCCTCGGCCATTGCCTTTGTCATCCAAGGTAGGGGTTAAGGCTTGAAACATGCATTTCTAGGGCTTATTATTCTATCTCTCCTGAGTTAGATAAATTCATTGCTCTAAAGAGGATGTGGAATATGAAGATTTTTAAATTTTAAATTTCATTTGTAATTGATTTTTTATATAAATGTTTACTTAAAATCTGTTTTATAAATCTGGACTGTTCTTAGAAGCAGCCACTGTCCTCTTGGTAGTTATGACCCTCGACTCTCCCCCACAGGGCATGGTGAGCGGCACTCATCCGTCCATGTATGTCTCCGGCTCCAGTTACCTGCCCTCGGTTCAGCCTGGCCACCAGGGCCACTTGCCGCCCGGCCACCCAGCTCATCTCCCCCCTGGCCACCCAGCTCTCCTACCCCCTGGCCACCCTCTGCACCTACCCCCTGGCCATCCTGCACACCTCCCACCAGGCCATCTTCCCCACCCGTACCAAGCCAGCAAAAATTGGCATCACACTCGCCGCAGAGATCGCGTATGATTTTATTTATTTATTTTTCCTTACATTGATATTTCAAACTTTCCTGCAGCTTGTTAATGTTGGTGGCTTGTTAATGAAATTTACCAGTCACTTGTTTTAATATTGATATTCTCTGAATTGCTATGGAAATTTATTAGACCACTGATTATTATGATTAGTTCTGCAGATTTCATAGACAAATGCATAATTAATAAAGTGATTGATTGCTATGTAATCTTCCTGCTAATGAAAGTGTTTACTGTGGCTCTCCCTTGACAATGTCTCCCATTCAACAGGGCCAAGACGTAAACTCTACATTTTCGTCGGATTCTGGAAATGTAGCAGATTATTACGAAAGCAATGAGAGGGGTGCCCTCCACCCACTACCCAAGTCTCGTTCCATGCCAGAATACATGGAGAATTATGCAGGTATGTATATGCTGTTAGAGTTGGAGTTTTATAAAACAATAGAGAAACATTTTTGGGCATTATAATACTAGTCTGCAAAATTGTTATCCCATTGCCACCGGGGATGGCATGTACATACATGCCATGCCCACTCTGAGTCAACTTGCTTGATTGTTTTTACACATAGATGGGTACACTTGCACTAAGTCACCAATGAGCCAATTACGAGTACTGCCTGTCTCGCCCGTTTACCCTTTTCATTGATTTACAAAAATATTTAACATTATCCTAATTTGCTGTAAAAAATAACACCATCTATATTTATAGCACTAGTAAGAATACGTTTTTCCCGCCAATTCAAGAAAGGTGAAATCAGGACTCTGAGTCGACTTGCTTGATCGTTTTTACACATAGATGGGTACACTTGCACTAAGTCACCAATGAGCCAATTACGAGTACTGCCTGTCTCGCCCGTTTACCCTTTTCATTGATTTACAAAAATATTTAACATTATCCTAATTTGCTGTAAAAAATAACACCATCTATATTTATAGCACTAGTAAGAATACGTTTTTCCCGCCAATTCAAGAAAGGTGAAATCAGGACTAGCAGAGCCATCTATGTACAGAGATATTTCACAAAAATATAAAAAATGAGTACAGCATTTTCCCCATTTTTTGTTCATTTTCCCTGGCGGCAATCGGTTTAAAGAAAAAGAGCGAAATTATTAGATGCATTGTGATGTGATGTTAATGGATTCTCTTCCTTCAGGCACGAGTAGTGATGGTGGTAGCTCAGGGCGACGCCAGTCTAGTGGCCGACGAAGCAGCTCACGACGACCTCCAGCCGACCTGACAGACTCAGGAGTATCGGTGGTGTCTGACTCTGGCCCTTCCTTAGCCCCCTCAGCATCATCCACAGAGAGGTTTGTGTAGAATGATCCCAGGTCTTAAGTGCTCTCACTCCCTGCACGCAGATTTTCTTCTGTGGAATTTTTTTGTTTTTGTTTTTACCCCTTTTTTATCCTTTTTCGTTTCTTCTTCTTTTTCTTTTCTAAATCTTTTGCTCATATCCAGTTCTGTGTAGTCCTTCTGTGGTCTTACCATTTGTTTCTACTTATCGAATAATGATGGATGTCCTCTAAGCCTCCATACACGTTAGCATTGCCTATTATGTGCTGTATTATTCTTTTAGATGTATGCTGTGTTACATATGGGGAAGTGCAGGAATTCAGCCATTTCTAGCAAACCGTCTTGTGTTCATTTTTTGTATACCTCACGCAAAATACTCTACATGCTCATCGCAAACTATACATTATACACATGAAAAGTACTTCACAATATCAGGGGACTCCATGTGGTGTGTCCTTTTCAGGGTGACCTCATGGCTTCTAGAGAGTGATAAATTTAGTGGGAGTGGCAGCACGTCCAGTGTGTACCCCGAGCATGAGTGGGACCCCAGGCTACGAGGGAGCCGGTCCACACATACTGCTGCTGGGGCTACTTCTCCTGGAACTCTAAGGTGATTTCACATCTCTTTTCACTTCATTTCATTCACATGCAGGTTGTCTTTTGTTTTGTCTTTGTCTGTGTGTGTGTCACTTTTCTTTTGCTTCTCTGCTTTTTCCTATCTGGTGTATTTATTTATTTTTGCCTTTGCATAAAGATTTAGTTGGCATATTTGAATAACAAACTAATTTCAGGCCTTTTCCATTCATATAAAGAGTTTGGACAATGTAGTAATATTGTTTACTAAAAGATTTTCCCAGACTTGATATTCTTTATTGCATTTCAAACTCTCCTACAATGTGTGTAAACTTAATCCATTTATCTTCAGCTATTCTTGCTTTATACTTTCTGATTGGCTTGCTTGTTCCTTATTTGCAGTTGGTTGAGGTTTATGTGCTCAATTCTTGAAGCACATTTTATCTTTCTACTCCTTATTGGTTTATTCTTATTCATGTTAGTCATCACCTTTATTCTATCCTTTTACTAAATCTGTTATGCATAAAAAAATCACGTTTGACTTTCCAAGATCATTTTCTACAATTGGTACTGGATCCTGATCCTTGCATTTGGTTGTATGTCGGTGCTCTGTTATGTTGAGAATCAGTGCTCAAAATTAATTCAAATTCCATTGCTTTTGTGAGTTATCTGCCACTCTTCAGCTAATGTCTCTATCTGTCACTAGGAAGCTTGATTATAGGGCCTTTTCTAAGAACTTGCAGGCTATCAGTATTCTTTAGACTTCCTTGAAGGTCTGCTTCTGAGGAAGCTTATTTTTTTTTTACAAGGATATATTTTATATAATTGAGAGTTATTATTGTGCCTTTGCAAGACTGATGTATATCAGTGAATGAAATTTCATTATTAGTAAGCACAATGTTTCTTAAAAAAAAATTTTGATAGAGTTTTGAAAGGATTGTCATTGCTTTAGCACTTCTGGCCTTAATTGAATTTAGACTGACCATTAGTTGCCTATTACAGACGCAGTGGAAGTACCGGTGGCCGCAGGAGTGTGAGCGGTGGCAGCGTGGGTGGCTCAGGGACACTGGCTAACACGGGCAGTAATGTGAGTGCCAGTGGCAGCCTCAGTGGTGGCAGCGTTGGGGGAGGCCGGTCTGGCTCACTTGACCGTGGCCCTGCTGGCTGGGTGACAGCAGGCATGGAGCAGGGTGGCCACATGGGGCATGGCATGCATGCACCTCATATGCCCCATTCGCATGCCGTGCATGGCTCACATGCCTCACATTCTGAAGAAAAGAGGAGAAATCGGTGAGTTGACTTCCAATTATGTTAAGGGAGAATCATGCCTATTTTTGGCGGTTTCATGAACAAATAGAATTCAGACCAAAATAAAGAGGGGGGGAGGGATAGTAAAACATGTGGTTTTACATGTCTTTTTATATTTTTCATTTTTATAATGTGATTAACCCATTAGATCTAGGTGCTTTACGGCAATTATATAACCAATAATATAGGCATCAGGCTTATGTAAGCAGCGGCTCTGACAAGTGCACGGCTTGTAGGCTGGGTGCATGCAAACACTTGTGTGTGGTGACAAGACTCTATGCTTCCCCTTTGCAATTTTATTTTCTCCGTTTATGGCTAAGCATTTTTAGCTTTTGTCATTTTCCATTATCCTTATTTGCCCTCAGATTTGCTTTATCCAAATGGTAATACACCATTTTCCTTGCACAGACTCCATATCACCTCTCTAGGTAGTCAATAACTCAGTGCAAAAATAATGATAATAAGTGACTTTTTTTTTTTTTTTCCCCCCCCCAATATTCAGTTATCTTTAATACTACCTCCACTGCCAGTTACAACAGCCAGAAATAGGATGTTGAGCATGGAAATGGTGTCCTCCCTGGAGTCGGCACTTTTCCGGTTATAGCTTGTGGACACTACAGTCCAAACTTTTTTATCTATGGAAAAAATGCAAAAGGCCCTTTCTAAATACCAAAGAGTCTTAATCACCCTCCAAGAGGTTTGTGCACTTGTGGCGAGTCTTTCCTGTCACGCCAGCCTTCAGCCGAAATGCTCACATCGGCAAGTTCTCATTACTCATTTTCCCATGACAGCATGTTCACATTACCCGCACTTCAAGACAAATTTTTTCATGATGTTATAGTCACATTATCTGGATTATAGGGGTTAATATGTAATACTTGTTTCAGGGGTGGTGGATCCAGCCGGTCTGGAGGCCACAGCTCAAGCCATGGCTGGGGTCACCCGGAGAGCGGCAGCAGTCGTAATCAGGGTCATGGTGATGGGTCAGGGCCAGTGTGCCCTGGGTCCAATGGCTCCACTCTCCGAAAGCAGCGACCTTCAAGGCACTCACAACCAACACCTCCAGGTGGGAGCCTACCCTTTTTTGGTCCAGTGGGTGCTGGTAGCTTGGGAACAGGAATGGGAAATCATTGGATAGTTAATGAGCAGCCCGAGAGGGAAGAAGGGAGAGTTCTACAGCCCTTTGTTTCAATTTGGCAGATTAACTGGATTGAATGGTTTGTAGGAAGAAAGTGATGAGAGAAGTCAGGTGCTCAGTGTTGAGGTGAAGCCACAGAAGAAGAGGGAGGGAGTTTGTCTGTTTGTCTGTCTGTCTGCATGTTGTCACACCATAACAGCCAGTGATGATTTCCAGGAATGTATGAAGGCAGTGGCGTGAGTGGTGGCAGCAGCAGCACGGGCAGTGGTGGAGGCGCATGTGGAGGTGGCTGTGCGGGTGCAGGCGGGTCGGCTTCCACAGCAGGTGGCGGGCTTGGGGGGGGTGGAGGAGGCTCTGGGTCGGTCATGAGCACCACCACAGAGAGCACCACTGTCATTTACAACTTCCACGACGACGACGTTCCCTTCGTCACCCGCATCCCCACCCGCCCAGTCACTCTCAGGCGCTTCAAACAACACTTACCTAAGAAAGGAAACTACAGGTAAGTCCTTTTGCAGTGCATAGGCCTTTTTAGCTGTGCCTGTAGTTGGGGTTTTGGGGTGAGCTAGGCTCTCTTTCAGGCTGAGAATTGGATATCTTGACTTGTGCTTTATAATGGCCATTGGAGAAGGATTGCTTCTACTAGCACGTTCTTATCTTCTTAAAAAAAATAATGGTTTGTCTGGCACTTCATACTTAAATTTTACATCTGTTAAGCTTTCTCACCTATTGCTGCATGCTATAACATACATGATTTATGCATGGTTATATCTACTTTTTTAAATAGTTGCCATGTGCAAGATCTGGCCCTCAAGACAATGAACTCTTCCTTTTGTACTTTCAGATTCTTCTTCAAGAAACAGTGTGAAGAGTTTGGTGTGATCCAGGAGGAAGTGACGGATGACCAGGAAATTCTGCCGCTCTTTGATGGAAAGATATTTGCGCAGATAAGAAAAGCGGACTGAAATGCTGTTGAGGGGGAAGGGAGGGGGGAAAGATGAAATATATATATATTATTTTGTGAAGTGGAGTGTTGTATGTGTGAAAGTCCCTTGTGATGGCTGTTGGGAAGAGAGTGCATCTTGGAGTGGATCTCTGAGGGAGGAATGTGTTTGGTGCTCACAATACCCCAAAGGGGATGTACATATATGATATCTACCCGACAACACCATTATAAAGCAACAGGGAGGAACACTCTTAGACTGGTGGTGTTAAATTGTATGTTGTGCTGTGGAGATCGTTGAGAGGGCAGTGCACGCACAGAGCCTGCCTGCCTGCCAAGCCCGAGCGCCAGTCTGCGAGAACTGTGGCTTGCCGCTGGGGCAGAGTGGTGGGAGTCCCGTGACCCCTCAAGCCTACAAGTGATAGGCGTAATTTCTTACCTCATTTTAGAGATAACAGGAAGATATGTGTAAGTGTGAAGGTGTGTTGGCTGGAGGACACTGGATTGAAACAACAGTGCCCAGCTCTTCTTCGTTTGCAAATACTTGTCAAGTGCAGGCTGACACCGACTGCCAGCCACCATGCAGCTTGTTTGTTGCCAACACCATCATTCTGGCAACAGTCTGATGCAACTGTAGTCATTCCAGCCTCGGCATGTTGCATCTCTTGCCAGCATGGCTGCTAATTGTAGCCACCATCTCTGTGCCTGATGCCATCACTAGCAGCTCTTGCTACATCCATCTGGTTTCTCAGATGCCAACACCATTAACACTTGTTGCCACTGTTGTCATTATTGTTTTTTTATCTTTTATTTATTTATTTATTTATTTATTTTTATGTATTTATTTGTTATTATTATTTTTTAGAATTATTATGCTTCCAGGTAATAATAAACAAATACAGATCAGTGTATCACATAATATATAATATTGTATTAAATAACAGAAACTTGCTAGCTTAACTTTTTTATCTACAGAGTTATGTCCTAAGCATTGCTAGGATGACAAAAACAAAATGAAATGGCATGTGGTACAATGTTCATATATATGATACACATTAGAATGCTCAAGATCCATATATTATAATGTATGATAATATATTGACAGCAAGTAAAACATTGGTCTGTAAATCAAACAATATTATATCAAGAAGTAATACATATTTTACTTTAAAGCAGCTTATCAGTGTTTTATCATACATTATTAAGTGTGCCATTAGGTAGTGTTTGGTATAATGCTGATGGTATACAATGGATACTTGACAGCCTGTACAAATGACACTGTATTATACACCATAAAAGGAGAAAATTCAAGATTTGTCTCCTTTTACACACATGTACATTATTTGGAACATTTTTAGACCCCTAATCACAGTTTTACATTTGTTAACTTGTTATGCAACTATTATTTTCTGCAAGAGCTTTGTAAAAGTCTGCAGTTGTACTGTTGCTGGAAAAGAAATTTAAAAAATAGAAAAAAAAAAGTAGGGAGACCTGCAATAAGCTTCTTGCCGTGGCATGTAAGGTCCTGCAAAGGAGCTTACAGAACTCAAGTGTTAATGTGCCCAAGCTTCACTAGTCACCAACCAGATGGTAAAGCCCTGAGTTGAAAGTGTGGCCTCATGCCGACGCTGGTCTGTGAGTGTCTGCAGATGAAACAGGAGGTATGTGTGGACCTGCTTTAGGTGTACAAGGTGCCAGCTCCTGTTGGCTCCGGTTGCCTGTGCAGCACAGTCGAGGAGTGTACCTGATGCAGTCAGCTGCCTACACAATGCAAAGGAGGAGGACTTGCTGTGGATCTTTGGCCTGCTCACCCCAATGGTGGCGAGCTAGTGCCTGTCTGCACAGCACAACTGAGGAGGGCTGGCCAACCCCAGAACCTGTGATACCATCATACTTGCACCCACTTCTTACTACTTGTTTAACTTGGTGCTAATATTGTAGAGGCTGTGTGGGTCGTACGTTGCCCACACCTTCCATTGTGCCCTGGCTATTGTCACCCCCTAAACACTGTCTTGTGAACTTCTCTCTCAGCACCTGATCTTCCCAGACACCTGCCTTTGATCCTGAGCATCCAAAAACTTCACTTTCTCGGACCTGCAGTTCCCAGTACCTTTCTTTTGTCATGCATGACAAAATTGATAGCTAAATAGTCATCACCCACATTAATGCTGTTTCTGAGAACCTTATTGCCTCCCATCACTTTCTAGTAGCTGTTTCCTGAGAATTTACATTAGCTTTGTTCTTAATTATATTCTATAAGACAAGAAGTTTCTCTCATCATCACATCACAGGTTTCATCAACATGACAAGAACTGCCTCTGGAGTCCTTGAATCACCCAACCAGCACCATGACACTCTTCATCTCTTCCACTCTCATCCATACTAAAACTACCGCCACCTGTGTACTCCCTGACTCATACGTCCTCACAGCCTCTGCTCACCACATGTAAAAGGATGTGCTAGTTACCATGCCCAATGTTACATAAAACTCACCGGCCTGGTGGACTACATGAGACTATGTTTAATAATTTGCATTGTACATTATTTTGCAGAGTATGTACAAACGATGGAGTAGGTTGGGTGAAGCCTCATCGTGTAACTTTGTAATAAAGGTAAACTTGTGAAGCCCAGCGTCACCTGCCTGGCCCTACCAGTGCCTGTCTTACAGTTATCCCTTATTGTTACTCTCTTATTTATAAGTTGACCCATTTTGTTCATGTCTCAGGTACGTCTTCTCCTTTTTACAATATTTAGATATAACATTTAACATTTTCATTTTTCTGAAATTTATTTAGTGTTGTTCTGCCTCGGTCAAGGTGTCAAGGAACTGTGCCGTCTAGTTGTTATTTGTTCAAGGTGACCTGTTACTTACCTGTTACAGCACAATCCCAGGTGATTGGTCACAATACCTGTCCAGGTAAATTGTCCATGGAGAACTGCTTTGGTTGTAAATTCACTCCAAAATGCAGAGTCTGTTCAGGTGACATAATAAACCTTTGCACTGTTATCTGTGTTGAGTTTAAGCAATAATAAGTACTACAATTGCAGTTAAAAGCCAGCCTTGGTAATGCATATTTCTTATGGATTTACAGATTGATGAAAGTGTATGCATTATAGAACCTAGTTGTTGGTTTGATAATGATTGGTGTATTACCTTTTAATATTTGTATAATTATTTTTTATAGATTATATTATCTGTAGGTAAAATCAAAACTTATTTGTTTCTTATAGTAAAAGAGGGTTTTTATATTCATAAATGATATTATTTGAAGGAGTATTCCTTCTCTGCCTCAAGAGTTAGATATCTCAGAATTATTTTTCCCCAACCAGTCCCACATTCTTGAATTAGCCCCATACTTAAATCTGAGTAAGAATGTATGTGATAGTAAATGAATTATATGTAGATGCAGAGCATTATTCCATGTGTATCTCCCTTTGCAAGACATTTTACACAGATGACTGATGTTTCCCTCAGCAAAAAAGTAAGGGGGCACTTCAGCGGATAACTTGAATTTCAGGGAGAAAATGAGGCATGATCCTTAAAAAGAGTTTTCTGGTGTACTCTTGAAAGGGAACTACATTTTTTTCAATTTTAAGTTCAAAGACTCATTGATCAAAAAATTGTTTTCCTCATACAGGCTTTGTCTCCTTAGTGAAGATATGATCAAAAAGCAGTTCTCATTTGGGCAGATCTTAAGGATGGGAAAACCTGGGGCTAGAAGACTGTCAGTTGTGTAGCCCCAGTGGGGGCTATGTTAGTATCAGCATAAGAGTCCTGTCATTTGTTGGACTGTGAGATTGTCAGTATTATAGCTCTGTAAGTGACAGAGCTCTCGAACTGGCAGTATTATAGTCTCATAATGTGTGGGACTGCAGCTGGTTGTGTGAATACCCTGTTTTGTGGGGTGGCAACACTTCCAGCAGTACAGCCTCATGGTGAAAGACGCCTACTCTGTACATACGATTTTTTTAAATAAACTCATTTTGTAGATTTTTTTTTATTTTCCTTTAGTGATGATATTCATAATTACAATAATTATATATATTAGTTGACTTCAGAAAATTAGTATGACAACAGTCATATATTTGGTGTAGAGAGGAAATTGTTCACCTAGGAACACCTAACATACAAATAATAGTGAAAATTAGTTGGACAATTACTGAAGAATCTTCATGGATCAACACTTCCTTGAGCACCATTGTATAATATGTCATGTCTCTTATTGTACTTTTACGAACTGATGGTATTTGTCATTACAAGGAAGAAGAAAATGACAGTGAAAGGAAAGTCTAATCTTTATAACAAAACCATAAATTATATAACCTAGTTATATGTATGCAGTTTGTGACAGATGGTATGAATTAAACTAATTATTTCACAAGGTGTGCAATTCTGATATTCTGATATGATTCTGATAGCAGAATTACATAAGTTCTGTGATTAAAGATAAATATTATTATCTATGATAAATATTACTCCGTGCAGATACACATTTCTTATTTAGTATAAAGTAGCATTCAGTATCCCTCCTCCCCACACCCACAATCACATGCCTGTGGGGGCTTAGGAAATGGAGACTGAGGGCCAGTCTTGGGATTACCCTACCTTGGGCTTCAGCCTTCAGCTCAACCTATTTTGTAGTCTATTCTCCCCTTGCCTTTTCCTTCTCTTCTCCAATCCCTTTTGTCCACTTCTAAGATGTGAGTGCCATGTTACTCCTTACCCCACATGAAGGCCCCGAGGGTTTTTCTTCCCCATACATTTCAGGCTTAGCATGACAAATAATGATTAACCCTTATTGAGGCTTGCCCAGCCAACTTTAACTTTTAAGGCTGTCCAACTTTTGGCTCTCCCTTGATCACTGCTTCTTTTATCTCTGCTTTGAGCTCAAATCAGTACCCAACCTTCAGAAAACATTCCCGAGTACTGAGTACCAATGTTGGGGATCTTCCCTACCTTGGATCTCAGCCCCTCCTCTTCCCCTTTCCTTTTCCTTTTGTTCTCCAACCCCTTCTGTCCACTTCCTAAGAAATAAAAGACGTGTTGAAAGAATAACGTGCTGGTATTGGGTCCTGAACAATCTTGGAGTGATGGACACAGTATCCCTGTGTTAAGTTATCTAGCCCATACCCCTCATGGGAGCCCTGAAGGGTGAACCATCTCTTTCCATCTTTCATACTCCAGGCTTACCATGGCCAGTCATTATTCAGTACCTTTGTTAGGAGCATTGAGGTTTGTCCCCTTATCAACTAGCCCCACATCCTAAGATGTGAGAGCCGTGTTAACCCATTCGCGCCGGGTGATGTGATGTGCCCAATGTGAGTTTACTTGTTCAATTGTTTTCACACACAGATAACTACACTTGTACTTGTACTGCCTGTCTCGCCTGTTTACCCTTTTCTTTATTTTACGAAGATATCTTACGTTATCTTATTTTGCTGTTACTAATGTTTATAATAAAGTAATTACAATGTTTACAATAAAAATAACCATCAATATTCATAGCACTAGTAAAAATACATTTTCCCGCCAATTCAATTAAAGGTGAAATCAGGCAAGGCAGAGCCATCTAGTGTAGAGACATTTCATTAAAAAAAAAAAAAAAAAAAATGAGCACAGCATTTTCCCCATTTTTTGTTCATTTTGACCCGGCTTTGGGTCAGTCCCGGGCACAGTTTTTCCTTTAGTTGTCTTACTCCTCAAAGGGATCCTGAGGGGTGAACCATTTCTCTTCCCCACATACTCCAAGCTTACCATGTTCCACTGACTTTAACTTTTCTGGTTCCCCGATCCCTGGCTCTCAATTGATCACAACTCTGGACACGACTACCCACCTTCGATAACTGCTGTTGGCTTAATCCAATCCAAAGTACCTACCCAGGTCATTACCTAATTTTCAGATAACATTCCTTCCTCTTTCCCAACATCCTCCACTCCATCTCTTCATTCTGTATTGATACTCTGCATCCTCAACTAGCCCCCACTGATTGTAATTCCCCCAGTTCCCTGACCCCTGTCTTTCCTTTGACCATGATTCTGATCACTACTACTACCCATTCCTCAATGCCCACTGTCGGCAGTACTACTTAACATGATACCACTCCCTCTTCCACAAGGCCCCGCCTTTCTACTACCTCCACCTCTGCAAATCTGACTACTCTGTCTAGCCCAACAAAATGGAATAGATTTTTTGTAATCTCCTCTTTCACAGCCGTTCTGATCATTCGCTTTGTTACAGTTACATCTGTGTCCCAAGCTCATGCATTATCTATCCTGATTGGCCTCACTGGCAAACCTTTTTCTGCCCAGCCTCACTCCTCCCTTTATATTTGTATCGGGATTGTTTCCATCTCCCCAACTGAGATTGGTCAAACTGAAAACAACCTGATTACCCTGTCTACGACAAGCATTGGTCAGACTGTAAAAACGACTTGATTGCCCTGTCTACGACAAGGATTGTTTAGGCTGTGAAAACAACCTGACTGATTGATGCAATATCAGTACAGTGCTACATTATTCCTCCCAGAGGCCACCAAGATTACCTTCCGTAAACATGACATCTCTCATGATGTTTATGATGTTTATCTCACATGATCAACTTCATCACCTATACTCCCAACCTTCTCCATCAACTACCCCATTCCCCCCTATTACTACTTTACAGCCTTATTGTCCACCTCTCCATAATACTACCTCCCTCAATACTACTTCTCCCACACACTCCCGTACTACCCCCATCTCTACAAAAATCTTAAACACTATTTAGCCCAGCCAAATGAGATCGCTTTTCGTGATTCCTCCCACAGCTCCCTACTCTAACAACACTCTTCTTTTCCAGCAATGTCTCCAAAAATAAATAGGCAAAGTCTCTTTCCGTAGCCAACCCGATCGTTCCCGTCTCGTCACAGTAACATCTGAACACCAAGCTATAGCATTATCAAATCTAACTGATCTATTTGGTTACCCCATTCCTGCAGAACCTCCTCCAACCCTCAATAAATGTACCGGAATTGTTTTTATCTCCCCAGCAAATTGCCCAATCTATAACAAAAATTGGTCAGATTGTGGAGAAGACTTACTCGCCTGTCTCACGGACTATGATGCGATATAAGTACAGTGCTACTCCATTCCTCCCAGATGTCATCGTAAGAATCCCACTAGCATTGCCAAAATTACTTTCCGTAGACATGACCTTCCCTTTAATGTTCACATAGGTGGAGAATCTCTCCCTGTCCGACCATAACAACCTCCTCCCCGTCAGTGCCAAACTTGTTGGCATTTAGGACATCCTGCCAAACATTGCCGTTCCACAGCCAGATGCCCTCTATGTGCCTAACCTGGTCATACTCAATCAAACTGCTCTGCACAATCATGCACATGTGCCAACTGTGGCGGCCCTCATAATGTATTTTATAGGGGCTGCCCCACCTACAAATTTGAGTCTGGGGTGGCAACTCTCAGATACAGACTTGGACTCACTCTGCGTGAAGCCAGACACGAAGTACGTCGACGAGGTTTTTCTCTTACTCCCTACTCCAGTAATGTCGCTCGCTCTGCCACCCCCCCTACCTCCCAAGCTCCTACACCCTCCCCTAAACCTATCCCTCTTCCATCTTACTTCCCCTCTTCTACCTCCTATCTTCCCCAGTCAAATTCTTTTGCCATTCTTAATCCAGACACTCCAATCTCTACTACAGTCCCAACAATTTCCCCACTCCCTCCCCGCACTACTCGTAGTAAATAGAATAAACGTAACACCCCATTTTTTCCTACCACATTCTCACCTCCACTTACCTTACCTCTACTCTTCAGACACCAGTCTCCTCTCCCCTCCCCCTCACAAGAAAATCTTTGTCTCACAAAAGTCTCCAACCAACTCCATTACAGAATCTCTTGAAGATATTCAAAACTATCTACTCCAGTCCCAAACTGACACTGGAACCCCTCATCCACCTTCAAAGTCCACAACTCCCGCTCCCTCCACACTCAAAGTGACAGCCGATATCCATCCTCCTCCTACTCATAGTCCCCCTACACCCCTTCCTCCTACTCCCTCCCAACACAGCCCATCCCCCCAGCTCCAGCTCCACCTACATTAACCCTCCCTCCATCCCCTCTATTCCTTCCACTTCTTCCTGGATACACACGTGAATCCCTTATGTCACAACTGTCCCCTCCCCCAGATCCTCCTTCTCCTGATACCCCTCCTGATACAACACCACCTCCCCCCTCTCATTCCTTATCTCACCCCCTAGCTCCTTCCCCTTCAAATTCTCCAACACGCACTGTAACCGCTATCACTCATAAATCAACTAAAGTATAACTATCCTTCATTGTAATATGCGCGATTTCCGTGACCTTCGTCATATGCTTTCCTCTTATAACCCATCCATTATATGCCTTCAAGAGACTTTTTTTTACACATTCTCCTATACCAATTCCCAATTACCATTTTGTCTCGTCAATACTTATCAATCAGAAAACACCTCATGTCATACCTCCCTTTCAAACCACTGTCCCCTGCACAGCTATTCGCATCTTTCCAGTATTCATGTTTACACTGACGGCTCCAAATCCACCACCGGTGCTGGTTTCGCAGTAACCTTCCCAACTCTCACTTTCAAATACCTCCTGCCTCCTGAATCCAGTGTCATTACTACAGAACTGAATTCACTCCTCTTAGCCTTAAAACACATATACTCACTTCCTTCTTCCTTTTTCACAATTTTTACTGACTCCCGTAATTCAGTAACTCTCATGAAGTCAGTACATTCGAACAGCCCCCTTGTTTGTAAGATCCAGAATTGGTTTCTCTACCTATCCACAAGACATAAAATAATCAGATTTTGCTGGGTGCCCAGCTATGTTGGAATCCCCGGCAACGAACAGGCAGATACTCTAGCACGCTACGCCGCCATGTCCACATCACACCAACCAAGTTTCTCACGTATACCAGCCACTTTAAGACACTTTGTATAACCGACGGCT